GGCAATATTTATTAAACCAAATTAGGCTACAGACATCCCTGTCACAGCACACTGACAGAAGTTCTGTATCCCCTTCAGTGACAGAAACATCAAGTTATAATACTAGAATGTTTTCAGTGGATAATGTTCTGTGTTCTGAGTGGATCAAAATACAACACTGGCATGCATGTGGCAGTCTGCTGCTTCTCCCTTCAAGGCCAGGGAAAAATACCTTTTTATTTTTACACCCACAAACATGGGTGTGGAAAAGAGCAACAGCTTGGGACTGTATGACCTTGTCACAGAACCCCCAACAGAGAAGAGAAACATCTCTGACTGTAGAATCAAAGGCACTCACACCTCAGGAAAGTTCTTGCAGCTATACCTCCTGGAAAGGAAAATTTCCCAGGATGACAGAGCCAGTCTGAAAACTCCAGAAAAAACTGAAGGATGTCATTTTACCAGTAGAGCTATCTGTCGGACCTTGAAATGAAAAAAATTTCTTTGTTATAACCTACCCCCAGGGTTGATCTAAAGGGAGAGCCTTGCACTGCATGTTTAAGACAGTTTCTTAGTCTATGCCAGGAGGGAAAATGTGGACTGTGTCTAAGCAGTGATCCCTGAGCCTTCTGGACATAGAGAAGAAAGATGGTCTGAGTATGGCTCTGCATGACAGAAAGGGAACACAACAAATATCTCATACACTACTCAGTGCATTAATCAAGCATTATGCCACAAATAACTCATTAGCGAGCATTATGAAAAACAGTGCCAGTGTTAGGAATTCCTGATTGTCTCTGAAGGAGCAGAAGTGGGATCAGCACAGCTCTTCTGAGGGGTCCAGCAAGAAGAAAGAGCATCTCCTTACGATCTAACTTCCCTTCTTGTAGGCAAAAGGAAAATCTGGGCCAAACAGCCTCTTTTATCAGGTATAAAATCTCCCATTGCAACATTAGGATTACATAAAACTACAACATTGTAGCACTGTGCACAAACAAAAAGCTGCTCATCTGTGTTACCACCTAAAGGCAGGCTCAAACTACATGCGTTGTGAGATTCCTGATAATAGCTCTGGGGAGAAGGGCTAGAGATGGTAAACAACAATTTTATATGACTAATCCAATATAATCCTATGCTGGGTAAAAAATCCATCTGCATGGATTCCCACTGAAGTACACTTTAATAACAGTGCAGCAAGCCTCTGGCTGTCACACTGAGGAAACGCTCTTTGGCATTCGGGCTAATAATTGCAAAAGATTTCTTAATTTTTCTCTTTTTTTCACTCCTCTGTTTTTATTAAAGCTGTTATACACTTGTCCTCCCATTTTATTCCCTGTTAAGAGATTATCCATCAAACCCATGAAGTGACAAAGATCCATCAAATCCGTGAAGCGACAAAGATGCACACCGGAAGGCATCTGAGGATTCCATGTCGACGGCCGGGTAGCTACAGCGAGGTCACCCTCTCTCTGCAAAGCTACAACCCTTTTCATTACATCACCGCAGCCTGCAGTTACTGTAGAGAAGGGCAAATTGTCTGCTGAGGCAGAATTAAACCAATTCCAGCTGCGCAGCTTCCGCACCGAGTGACCCCGGGATTTGCTCCCAGCAGACGGCGGTGGGGACCCGGACGCACCCTGTGTGGCACAGAGCGGGAGCGACGGACGCTGCGCAGCGGCTCAGGGCAGCAAGGGACGGACACTGCCACCCCCAGCTGGGCCACACCTACGCCAATTAGGGCTTCACACCCCGGCAGAGAAGGAAATCCGTGACTAGGCTCCCTGTTCTCCTCTGAGGTCAGAGAGAAGAGGTTTTCCCCTCCACTGAGCATTCATTGTCTCGGGGAAGGAAGTCTGACATTCACACAAATCTGCCTGGGGCTCAGGAGGATTGAGGCAGACAAAGCACCCGAGAAACACTTGTATTTCAGGTTCATCAGGATGGGCCTATTCCAAATGGACGAGATTAAACACGTGGCGTGTGTGTAGGTTACGAAAGGCATGTGAGAGGAACTGGCTAGTGTTTGGGGTTATGAAAGATCAGAGGTTATGAAAGACCTTGGCAGTTATGAAAGATGAGCCAAGAGTCTGATCCAGCAAGGCGGAGAGCAGCCTCAACCAGCTCGAGGTGAATGGACAGTCACAATGAGCCAGCAGCTCACATGAGGAAGCTCACACTGCCTGGGCAGGTCTAGGCTAAGGAAGGTTTGAAAAAATCAAGGACTAGGAGAAAGGGAAATATTACCATTGGCAGTTGTAATTTTTGGCAAAGTATTTTGGAAGGTCTTAAAATACTAGCTGCAGTTACTGGTTTTCTAAGTATTCTTTACTGGCCTTCTAGTTCTGTTTTAAATCTACCTGCACAAGCCACATAGCTGCAGTGAATCTGTAAAAAACAAGGGCTCATTCAGATATTTTGGCCTCTCAAGTTCAGCCTGTGGTAACCCTATTATCACTATTCTACCACCAGAATGAAGAGAAGGTTGGGGAAATTCTACTGCTCAAATGCTTATTTTCCAGACATCACTTAGAAAGAGGACGTGCTCCTGCTAAGAAAAATGTTGAGGAGAGCACCTCCCCTTCTTTGTAACAGTACTTCTCTGTGATGTTGTAACTTTCTGTAGACACCTTCAGTTACTTGTGTATTCTGCCTGCTGCACTGTAATTCACACTGCCTACTTTTAAAACATGCCTTAAACAGCCTTCCAAATGCCCCTGTGGCAGTCTAATAACAACAAATCTGCAGGCATTGAGGCAGACCCGAGGCATAGGGGAAGAAACCATCTGCACTACATCAGAATAGGATCTAGTCTGTTTCAGCAATAGATATAGAGTTTTATTGTTGGTAAATTCAAACTAAAACTTTGTAGTTCAAGGTAAAACAAAGGCAACTTTGTTTTTGAACAAAGTGTGTGTTTAAAAAACACCTTCTGTGTTTTTTTCAAGGAAAAACACAGGAAACATTTCTTATCATGGTCTGAGATGCTTCCTAGAATGCAAAGCCACGTTTAACTGTACATTTTCTTTTTCACCAAAGTTAAAGCTGTCTATACTACATCTCAGCAGTCCATGAATCTCACCAGAAATACATTTACCCATCTGGCCCTGCACAGAGACTCTCTAGGGAAGGTCCTGAACATGCCTCATGCCATGGCAGCAATAAAAAGCACAGATTTCCAGAACCTAGAGGAAACTCAGGTTTCCTGAGAAGGATCCAGATCAATTCTGTTCTACACTAGTTCAAGTTATACTGCATGTTTGTAGGATTATTGCACTTATGGAAACTAATCTAACATAAGAATGACACAAATATGCATTTGGGGGAAACAAGTCACTTGGACCAATCAGTCAGCAGACAAATTGACAAACATTTGGTGATGACTTATTCAACAAAATTTCATCATTTCATGCTTCAACCATACTTTTACACTTTGTGTAGCAGCTAATTCACCTTCTCAGAGTTTGTTACCATTTTTTTTATGATTCAAAATGGAGACTAAAAAAATATTTCGTTAAGTAGAATGACAGCCTTGCTGTCTTTGTAGCATCCACTGCCAGGGTGCAGCTCAGAAATTTAAAGAATGAAGTTGAATTCTTGTGCTATAATCCAAGAAGTTCAGTCCCTTGCTTTAGAAGAAAAAGGTCCAAGTGCTTAATTTTAAAAAGTGTCTGTTATTTTTGTGAACTGCCTAGAGAAGAATGTCCCTCTCATCCCAAAGTCATCTGTGTCCTACAAGAAAAACATCAAAAGAAAATAGATCTAGATTTAGGGTCTGTTACATTAAGTAGAATACCCACGTCAATTTAATTTGGCCTAGCCTCTAGGACATTAATTAATTTTTTGCTCAGAGATAGTAAATGGTGGTGTTATGCAATTTTCTCCATGCAAATGTGTTCACTACTAAAACATCTCTATTCTAGCCCTGAAAATGAAACTCTCAACCACAAAGCAGGTGCTGAAAGACAATAACAAATTTCATTCACTCTATGTACCTAATGCCCCTTCCAAAAAGCTGTGCTGATGGACTCAGTCCCTGGGCTCTCTTTTTTTCCTATTCAATGCCAAGTGCGCATCAGAACAAGTCATTTGGAAAAGCCTCACTCTGACAGATAAAGTGCGTGCTCCCAACACTCACTCGGTGTTTTAAGCACAACAGTCTGGCTGCTCTATTGCATAAGCACGCATTCATCGTGGGCTGCCCTCCTTCTAAGAGGCGGATCCAGAATCGCTCAGCTCTGCTCCCTGCCCTGCCGGCATGGCAATTTGGCTTATACGGATTCTGGAACAGCGGGTTCTGAATTCTCTCTTCTCATCCTTGACAAATGCGAAATGACACACGAAGACAAGGGAGAAATAGAAAGGGCCATGTACTTCTTACCACACACTTGAACTCCCAAGCACTAACAAAGCTGAACTCCCGAGGCCGCTTTTCCCACACTTTTTCCCTTTCCTTCCGCAGATGGCCAATGCCAGCCGCCAGCTTTTCCCCCAAAGCCCCGGGAACGCCGGCACCGGGCCCTCGTTCCGCGAGCTGGCTCTGGGGACACGGGGGCAGCGGAGCCCGGAGGGGCCGCTCGGCCTGGGAGCGCGGCTGCTCCTCCTTCTCCCGGGGGAAACAGGAGCGCCCCAGCTCCAGCCCCAGCCCCAGCCCCAGCCCCAGCCGGGCGGTCCCGGCGCCATGTCAGGAGGGGCGGCCGGGGCACGGCCACGGCCATGGCGGCGCAGCCTGCCCTCCGCATCCCGCATCCTGAACACCCTGCCCTCCGCATCCCGCATCCTGAACACCCTGCCCTCTGCATCCCGCATCCTGAACACCCTGCCCTCCGCATCCCTCACCCTGCGGACCCTGCCCTCCGCATCCTGCGAACTCTGGCCTCCGCATCCCGCCCTCTCGGCGCGGCCCCGGCGCTGCTCTCCGCAGTCCCCCCGCCTCTCCCGGCCCTCCTCCGCCCCCGGGGCTCACCTAAAGGCAGCGCCCAGCACCAGCCCGCCTTCCCCACTGACCGCGGCGGGCGCTTCTCTCCGCCCCGCCGCGCGGGGCGGGGCGCGGCCGGGCGCGCAGTGACAGCGCCGGGCGGTGTGCGCGCCCCGGGCATCCTCCTCGGCGGGCAGCCGGGCCCCCCGCGCCCCCCGGCCCCGCTCCGGGCAGCGCGGCCGCCGCGATGAAGCCGTGCGAGGAGGAGGAGGAGGAAGGGCGGGCGGCGGCGGGCGGCGGCGGGGACCCCTGGAAGGAGTGCGCCGAGGTGGCGGTGCAGCTGGCGCGCCGCGCCGGGCAGGTGAGAGCCGGGCGGGCTGCCCCCGGGCCGGGGCCGGAGGAGCCTTCTCCCGGTGCGAGGAAGGGCCGCGCTTGGCCGGGCCGCAGAGCCGGGCAGGGGGAGGAGGGCGGCGGGCTCGGCACCCGCTCAGCCGGGCCGCCCGCGGAGCCCTCGGCAGCGCGGCCCCATCCCCGGCCATCCCAGAACTTGGGGGGCACATCCCGCGGGGCTCCGTCCCCTGGGGGCCTCGTGCCGCGGGGCTGCTTCCCTGGAGGCCCCAGCCCGGGGCAGGGGGGCCCAGCCCCCGGGGTACTGCATCCCCTCGGGGCTGCATCCCCTCGAGGGGCCCCTTCCTGGGAGGCCACATCCCTTGGCAGTTGCATCCTTCAGGGTCAGCATTTGTTTTCCAGCAGCTTGTGCAGAGAAAAATAACCGTGTCAAGGATGTTTTCTCTTGTTGGATCTGGCAGAGTCTTCAGAGTGGCTGAAATTCGCTTGCTAGGGACAAATAGCTATGTGATGAAGGTCTGTAGTAGCTTATTTCAGATCTGTGTTTTGACACAGCAGGTTAGTCGTCTCAGGAGATATCCTGACCCCACTCTGCGCAGCAGCAAAACTTCTAACAGTTTCCCACTTCTTGGGATCAGCACATTGATTGACTGAGAAACTGAGTGAAATACAAATTTATTCAGCAATGCATATTTCTCTCTCACTTCCATTCTGCTCTATTTTGAAACGCGCTTCGTACCTATACACTGTGATTTAAGAAGCCCCCTTTTCTGTCTTGAGTCCAAGACCCATAACTTCTCCTTAGGGTGTGTTATTAAAACATAGTTTCTCCTTAGTGAAAAACAACTACACGGATGAACAGAATGCCAGAGGAGAGGAGACTTGTTTTAATAATACAGGGACTAAATGGATAATCCAAATCAGGATGACAGGTCATGCTCTCACAGACTCTCAAAACAGGAGTTTCTCCAGCACAGTCATTCTGCCAGCCATTTCACAAGAAAAGACTCATGTCTTGCTCAAGCCTCCACACCTTATTTCTCAAAATACCAATTTGTGAAGCCAGCTTTAAGCTTCCCCAGTCATTTCACTTGCTCAGAAAATCACAGCTGAGCACTTTTTCCTGGAAGAAGTAAACATTCTGTAAGACTAATCCTTGAATCTGAAATCACAGTTTGCCATTGCTCCCTTGCAAATGGCAGGAAATAGCTGGTTCCTTGGCAGGCCAAATTTAAACCAGTCAAGGATGTTGTTTAGGTAGCACTTTGGAAATTGGGTATTTTTTTTTTTCCAATTATTTTGTCATGCTAAGGAATCTTTTTTGTTACAAAAGGCACTGGAGATCCTTCTGGAATAAAAGGTGCAGGTATGGCTCTATTATTTTATTTAAGTGTCAATCTGCTTCCAGGTATTCCAAACAAAACTAGAGCTAAGGACACCTAGTGCAGTGTAGCATGTCTTTGGTAGGACTGGAATTTTGTTGAAAATTGACTGATAGAAATGGGGGTTATTTTGATCACCAAAAGCAGTCAATTCCACTAGTCAAGTTCATTTTTTTCTCCTGCTTCTCTTCCCATCCCTCAGACCTTTCCACCTTCACCTCCATCTCCAGAACTCTGCTTGCACTCTCTGTCTCCCCAGATCCAACTCCAGTTTCCATCCCTGTGTGACACTTTGCCACTTCAGCCTTTCTTTTAAGGGGCTCCATTTCTCAGGACTGTGGCAGGTTAGGAAGGGTTGGAGTCATTAGAAAATGTCTACACGAGTCTTGGCTTGAAGAAAAATGTGCACTTCCAGATTTTGGATTTCTAGGAAAAGTCAACAGTAATCAGTAATACCATTTTCTGATCTCCCCTTTTGGCTTATACAACTACTTGATTTGTGTTGCATTGTGTTTCATGGCTATAGATAAAAGATATCTTCTTTCCAAGAGATAGTGTCTATACTCTGGAATAGTTTCTTCTAAACTTAAAAGGCCAATAAAGTGATGCTTGGATATGTGTCAAAAGTGTTGTTGCTGGAGTAACCTCTATTACTGGGTTAAAATCATTGCTTCTCTTGCCCATCCTGTTGTTTAGTTCTTATTACTTTTATGAAATATCACAGGCTCTCATTTACTATATGTGGCTGTTTCATAACTGGAATGGTCATGGTTTTGTAATGTCTGTAATTGACCTGCTTTAAAATTCACTCTATGAGGCCACAAATAACTGCATTTCTTCAAACTTCTCTTCTGCTTTTTCTGTAAGTAAGCTGCTTGCTGTGTTCATGAGAGTACCTCCATAGGTTTGATGTGACTTTTTGCTCAAGAAAAGCAGGCATGACTAGTCTGTGCATCTTTGGTGCTGTTAAGAGCACTGAGTAATATCTGCAGTGTTGTCTCCGATTGCAGAATTGGAAAAGCTTCACCAAAATGAGTAAACATACATCCAGGTAAAAATAAGAGTAAGAAACTAACACTAGGACATAGTATGCTGAAGTCAAAACTTTTCTTTTTCTTTTTTTCTCTTATTTTTCTTCCCTTTTTTTCTGGAAAATAATTTTTTGAGGCATAAGAGACCTAGCAGAATACCACTAAAAAAAAAAAAAAGACAAAACTTTCACTGGTATTCTAAAAAGCCAAGATTTTTTTTTCCATTTTGTTAGTTCCCAGGGGAAATTTTTAGGCTATTTTCTATGTAACATAGACAGATGTTTTAGCACACCAGATTGGAATTTCCTGAATTATTTGCAGGTACTCATGCTTTTTATCTAGGTGTTTGATTTTATCAGTTAGCAAATATTTCAGGACAGTATTGCAAGCATCCAAAATCCATCTTGGATCTCCCAGAAGTGTATGGTGAGTGCAAGCAGTATGGTGAAAAGAAATATCTGACATGAGCACACTACTGTAGGTGGCTTTCCTGGCAGGTTTTGGGGGAAAAGGCATCTTGACACTCTGTCTTCTTCACTCTGCTTGGTTGGAATAAATTTTACAAAGGCATTAAAAAAGGAAGAGTCCAGGACTGACTGCCCTGAGCCCCAGTGTCTCCATTTCCCCTGCTCCATGGGAAGTGAAGGAGGGAGCAGGGAGAGCATGGATCTTCTCTGTGATGTGGTCTCCACGTCTTGATGCAAATGCCCCTTGCTTTGCATAACCCCCCAAATGCTCCCAAGCAGGGTATTAGGATAAGAGCTGCATTAGAGGAGGGGCAGCATGGGCTAAGAGTGTTAAATGGCTCTGCTGTAAATAACCATGCTCCCAAAAATCAGTTACTTAGAAATTGCTGAAAAATCTCTGTAATCTAGGGACCAGCCCTAGTACAGGAATAAAGTCTAGTAAAATATATTTACAGCCAAGTTACAGCATCTTGATTGCCAATTTCATTGTACAATGGGGATAAGGTGCAACCTCCTGTCCCCGTTTCATCATCCTCTAGTTCCTTTTGTTTCTGCTTGCCTGCTACCTTTAACCTAGAGTGAGACTTCTATGGAACCCCATGTCCATCTGGAAAGACCAGGCAATTGTAGTAGGTATCCACAGACATCATTGTAAGGCTTTTGCAAGGAGAGTTGTTGAGTGATGCTCTCAAAGTATTCTGAGCAGCAGGCTCTAACACTCCTTTGTAGGCAGGTGACTTCTAGGGATTCTTCAACATAAATTGAATTCTACACTGCTCTGAGTTGTTTGATCATTTCCCAAAGAATAAAAGTTTTTCATCAGTTATGCAGGAAATGTGATCCTTGTGTGGAGCTACTCTGGCTTGGATTGCATACCTGTACATGCTGGAGCAAATGCATGGGGTCCCTTTCATCAAGCCCTTTGTAAGTTAGAGAGAGTTGGCAGAATCAGAGGGTCCATCCTGCGTGCTGTGGGTGAGCCTCCACAGATGGGGTGCCCATTTGTGGCTGGTGACCTCAGCCACAAATGGGCACCATGACTTGTCTCCTCCTCTCCTCTTGACATTCTGCTTGCACAAGAGGTGGGGAGGAGCAGCCCATTGCAGGGCTGCTAAATGCTAAATGTGTGTTGTGGCTCCTTGGCATGGGCCGGCGGAGGAGATGGGTGAGAGGGCCAGCAGCCACCAACCACTTCATAGTGCAGGCACACCCTTGGCTACTGCCACCTCCAAAGTGGCTGGAGCCTCATGCTGGCCACCAGAGACACAGACAGGGTTAAAAAGTTAAAAATGGTCATGAACAACTGGGTAAAGGATTAGAAATGAAAAAATATTCAATTTTAATCCGGCATGTGCAAAGGGTTGTACTCAAACCGGAGAGATCAAGTGCCAGAGCATGCAATGCAATCAGCTGATTGCAGAGCACGTCCACAGGAGAGAGGTTTCATCTCTGCTTTTTCTTTCCCAGCAAGGCTCAGGTATGATCCCACTGCCCTGCTGAGCAGTGGCACTGATTTAAATGGCTGCAAAAATCTCAATCTACTATGCATTAAAACGGAATAGAAGTCAAGAGGATGGCGTTGCTAAGAAGAAATTAAAATTTTCTCTGTCAAAAGGAGGACATTCCTCATCTGTTTCACTGTGTGACGTTCCAAGCAGTAAGGACAATAGGAAAGTAAAGAAGAGCAAATAAAAGGGATCAGCATAGCTTTTTTTTTAGAATACACAGCTGAGGGTGGTTGGAGTGGTTTGGATTTTGCTTTGGGCTGAAGAGGAGCCCAAAGGCCTTGCTGGAGTTGCAGTTTTATGCTTCTATCATAAATCCTTCAAGACAACCAGACAGGGCACTGAGAGGAGTAAAAAGATTAAGTGTGGTTAATATTTTGATATACAATAATAAACTTTAGCAAGACCTCAAACTGGAAAGTACTACCTGCCCTCACAAGCTCCGTAAATAGGTACAACTGATGTTTTGCAGCTCACAAAGCAGAAGCATTAGTCCAGATACCTTCTGTAGTAAGGCAGTAGCTGCCCATATCCATTACTTGTCGGATCAGTTAACACACTCCTCAAATATAGTATTTTATACTACCAAAACCAAGAGTTGAGATGACATTTGGGAGTTTCTGATTCCCTTTCCCATGCATAATGCAGCAGAACCATTTTCTTTGGTCATCAAGTATTTCTCAATGGTTTTAAAATATTTTGATCAATGGAAATTTAGTTAAGCAATTTAAATATATAAGTTTTTGATGGGAGTTAGAACATTGATCTTATTGCTGCTGGGTTACAAATAAGTGGTGCTTAATTTTTGCTTTGGTTTGGTTTTTTTAAGTTTTAAATAATTTATCATTTTCACTTATTAAAAAATAAGTGATCTCCTTTTGCACCCTGTCCCTTTATTTTTCTTTTCGATGAAGAAGTGGGAGAAAAAAACAAAACAGAAAGAAAATGGGAAAAATGGTGAAAAGCTTTCATTAAGTGTTTTCCCATATGTGCTTTTGTACTTGAGCTTGTAACAGTAATACCCTGGAGAATCAGATAAATACATTTCCAGAAGAGAGTCCAGGCTTAAATCATTGGTTTCATATCTAGGGAAAGCTTCAGTTTTTGTTCTTGTTAAATACATGTCAATTCTTTGGGAGCCAGAGGGTGGTCAGCATTTAAAATTCAAAAAAACCCACAAAACCCCCCAAAAAAACAATGTGTCTTTTTGGCAAAATGGAAACCAATTACGTTTGCCTTATTGCATATCTGTTAGAGAGCAGTTTTCGATGAAGAAGTGGGAGAAAAAAACAAAACAGAAAGAAAATGGGAAAAATGGTGAAAAGCTTTCATTAAGTGTTTTCCCATATGTGCTTTTGTACTTGAGCTTGTAACAGTAATACCCTGGAGAATCAGATAAATACATTTCCAGAAGAGAGTCCAGGCTTAAATCATTGGTTTCATATCTAGGGAAAGCTTCAGTTTTTGTTCTTGTTAAATACATGTCAATTCTTTGGGAGCCAGAGGGTGGTCAGCATTTAAAATTCAAAAAAACCCACAAAACCCCCCCAAAAAACAATGTGTATTTTTGGCAAAATGGAAACCAATTACATTTGCCTTATTGCATATCTGTTAAAGTAAGAGAGCAGTGGGGTATTGGCCCAGTATATTAAAAAAATAAAAATTAAAAAAAAAAAAAAGGGCTTTCCTTGAAAAATGCCTGAGCCTTGAGGTTTTTTCTTACCTTGTGTATGCTTTTGGTAATTTTCTAAATCATGATGATTACTTTCATCCTTTTATTCCCTGAGTTGCGTCCCTTAGTCAATCCTTTTCCGAACTGTCAAGAGTGGTTTTTGCAGTGATTCAAAATGCTGTGTTCCAAAAGAGTACTCATTAGCTCAGAAGGACTTTTTGTCAAAAAATTATAACAGCTTCTGGTAGAATTAGGCCTACAGCTGTTTTTCAGGATTAGCTATATTTTTTTCAGTGAAGATATTATTTTTGTATGGGCTGAACACCCAACAAATCTGATTTACGAACTTCTGTTTCAGATTATTAGGAAAGCTCTAACAGAGGAAAAACAAGTGTCCACAAAGACATCTGCAGCAGATCTCGTGACAGAAACTGATCATTTTGTGGAAAATTTAATTATTTCTGTTCTGAAAGAGAAATTTCCCTCCCACAGGTGAGTGCCTATAGAAACTATCAATGATTTTTTTTTTGTCCTGTACGTGCTGCATCTCTGACTGGTATTTAAAGGGAACTTTAAAAGTCTGTGTATCTTTCTTATACATTAACCTATTGTTCCTACACTTTCGTAGGACTCTTGTTTTTTTAAAAAAGTGCCATTTCCCTAAACTTAATACTTTATATTTTCTGTGTTTCTTGATATATGTGTTTAATAGCAATGTTTCCTCTGTAGGAACATCATGGATGAAGGTTTCATGTGGATCTCCATGATGTTCAGAACACTGGTCTGTTGCCTACTGTATAAGAATTATGCTAATGCCATCTATAAAAATATAGCAGAAATATATGCTAGCAAAGGTCCCACCCTGCAGACCTTTCCTGTTGCCATCACACATATGCATTTGCCAGGTCGGGAGAGATAAAAGTGCGTTTAATTACATTTACCTTGTGTTCTGTAGTGAGAAGGTCAGTGGGAAGCAGGGCTGTTTGTCATCATCATCATTATTTGATGCCTACTCATAAACAGGCTATAAATTACTACATGGGGTTTTAAAACTGAGATTTTAAAAGTAGATCAGGTGGTCGATTCTTCTTGAATTATTGTGGTCAACTTGAAAATAACAACTCAGCTCATGTACAGATTAGAGAGAGGGTTTGTATTAGTTTGGTTTGGTTTGATGGAGAGACTGACATTGATTTCTACATTTGACTTCAGTGGATAAAATTAATTTTCCTGCAGAGCCAGTGCAAGGGCTGTGTATCCCTTAAATAGTTTCTGACTCCCTTCTAACTGGGGGCATGTCTGATGGGGATGAGCCTTGCATTCCAGTGCTGTGCAGAAATGAACAAAGAGGAAAATCTGAAGGGCCCAGCTACTAATCTGATTGTCAGCGATGCTGCTGGGCAAAAAACCAACACCATAAGAAGGAGCAGAAAGAATATTTTTATACTAAATATGGCTTTCTAAATACATGCTGTATGTGATGGCAGAAGCAGTACTGTACAGCATAATGTGTGGTTCTTGGCTGCAATTCTCAAGAGAGTGCCAGGCTTTACATGCCTATTATTTGTGTAATATTCCTTCTACTATTGCTGGCTGTGCTCTTCTCTCATCTCCACTTTTATGTTAGTTTTTTTTTTCCTTGAGCAGTCTGGCAGAGAACATAAAACCTACACATTTCCCATAAAATGAGAATCACCAGATACACTCAAGTTACTCAGAATGGGAACAAAAGTTGTAAGGTCAACATAGGCCAAGTAACTGAAAAATCCCAGATTTTATCAACTCCATACAGTTAACTTCTGACTTTATAAGTAAATGAAAGAACTGCCATTTCTTCAAGACAATCTCATTTTGTTGATAGTGGTTGTTGGGTTTGCTTAGAATTTGTTTAGATAATTAATGCGTTTAGATTAAACAGTATATTAAAGCTAAATTTAACTAGATTAGATTAAAACATGGGCATTGAGGAGTCTACAAAAACAGTCAGGGGTTAAACTGAAGTACAACAAAAATACTAAAATATAATTTATATTGTATTCAGTCTTTCCCCTAACTAGGTTGAAAGCAGCACTGAAAATTTCTTTTGTGATTTCTTTTGTGATTTATTTTTCTTCTAAATCATCTTGATTCTTACTTCCTCTGAATCAAAAATGGACTTTAGGTGTTAGAAAAATTAAAAGGGATCTTATTAGAATCTGCCATTTGCACTGAGGTGCTAATGAGTCTTGAGATACTGGAATTAGTATATTTCCAGTATATACATTATATACTGAAGTAGTATATAGTAGTATATACTGAAATACTCAGAAGTAAAGAGAAGTACTAGAAAAATCCATTCAAAAAGTAATTCTGTCCCTTTTCTGGGACAGAAATTCTGTTTCCTTTTTTCTTCTTGTTTAAGTGGTATGTATCTCTTCATTCACACTTCACTCAAGTTTTAGTCTGTGCTCACTTTTTAGTACTCTGATGTGCCATGGTGAGTCTTTTCAAAAGGATATTTTTTCAGATAGATCCAAGAGTTGTGGGTAAGCACAGCCAGACTACCAAGGGCTGCTGGTTGCCAAAGGCTACCCCAACATTTACCCTTGCTATTATTACACAAACTGTCATGTTTGTGTTCCTTGTGGCCTTAATTCTGTAGACGTTAAAATCAGGACACAGGAGTTTAGGAGGGTTACATCCAACTCTAGCTTCCCATCATTCTGTCCTGGGATCCCCGTATTGGGATAGGTGAGGCACCTGCCCAGACTGAGTCTCCTGCATTTGACTGGGTATCATTCCTGCTGCAGATTGTGGTGTGTTACAGCTTCCCTGCTGTTCCTGCAATGAATTTCAGAGTGGCACCGTGGCATGAACAGATGTAGTCTAAGGCTTGGCTAAAATTACTAGACTCATTTTCAGTGGGAGTGAAGTGTAATCCAGATTTGAGCAGAGGTCAGCGGAGCTGGCAGGCTGGCATGTTAAATTAACTATTTTAATGAGGTGTTTACCCTTCCCACTTCTCAAACTGTTCCTAGAATTTACTCTAGTACTTCACACCAGGTATTTTGCTTGGTTTACAGGTTTTTTCAGGACACAGAGCAAGACATCTGAGGTGACCTTGCAGGACTCTCACATTTCCCAGCGTTGTATAGCAATTAGGGGGGCATTTTGTTACCCATTAGCCCAGATTTCATAAAATGTGCACCTAATTTGGTCTACATCCATTTTGGAAAAATTGCTCTTGAGCATGAAGGTTTTATCAGTGGCACTGCTGTGCCCCAGCTCCAGGTTAGCACTTCTGAGCTCAGGGACTGCAGCATCACACCCCCACTGTGAGAGAAAGGCGAGGGACTGGCTCAGAATGCTTCAGGGCAAATCATCTTAGACAGAAATACTCCTGTCTTTAATGAGGTTCTCATTTCACCTTTCTTTGACTAGCCAGACAGCAACTATGGTTCAAGCTCGAGCTGGGGGAGCTGGCACAGGGTTGAAGCAGAGGTATAATTTATGTGGAATTTGGATAATCTAAGGTGGGATGGAAGGTGCTCTACCTACAAGATGAATCTCCTCTGCATCCAGCAGCACAGACAAGGCATGGTTGGGTTTGGATGCTGATTACAGGATTTGTTAAAGCAAAAGTCAAGTGATGCAGCACCAACAAGACAAAATTGTGGAATATTTAGAGCAAGGACACTGCAAAGTGTTATGTTAAGCTGAGAGTTTCAAACACCTGTTCAAGTCTTTCTCATTTCTCAGTTGTGCATTAGCACTTCGTCCTTCAGCTGTTTCTTTTAATGGAGATGAAAATAGTAACAAACACTTCCTAATTCCCTCTTTGTACCAGCTGGGGGTCTATAATGCCATCAAAATAGCCTGTTTATACTTAGGTTGAGGCAGAGTAGCATTTGGAAAATTCAAGAGGTCTCCTCCTGTGCTGTCTGCAGAACATTTTAAACTAATGGATTCAAGTGTTATCTGGAATCATGAAGTACAGGTTGAAGACACAAAATGAAATAGCTGCTACTCTAGTCCTAGGGAAGGACTCTTTTGCAAAAGATATTTTCTCTTTATTTCATCCTTTTTTTCTCTTTGTATCTTTGAGAGAAGCTTTTTTGTCTTCAAGCATTTCAAGCAGAAACTCTGAATACCACTACCAGCTGTTCAAATGTGAAACCACCAGCAAGATTCAGTACTAGCAGTTGGATTCCACTCCTGCTGTACATAAAGGATTTTATTAAAATCTGTGAGAGTAGCACCTGCACATCTCTCACAGAAAGAGACCTTGGGCAGTTTATGGGAAAGCAGGGATAATTAAGGTTGACAGGAAATGTGCCAGAACTGGATGTTCGTTTCCCAGGGAAAAAGGAGAAAAAAAACTACTAAAAGAAACTGGGACAGAACAACAGAAGAGATGATCTCAGATTTCATTTTGTGCCTTGTGCATCCAAACAAACAAACAAAAAATAATTTGTTGATTTTTTTTCTGGGTCATGGGAAAAAGAAGGTCCAGCTTTGTAAGACTCTTCCTTTCCTGAGTCAGATTACTGTAAAAAATACAGATAGGAGCAAGATTGTGGATTTTCTAAGAGTGTATTATTTCCTTCTGACTGAATCTGATTGCAGAAGAGAAGCAGGTAGAGTTTGCAGTTTATATTAGTTACTTCAAGAGACAGACCTAACCCATAAAATTATATTCTGCATAAAATAATCTTCTCCTTGAGTTCCAGGGATGCCAGTTCAGATCCATTTCTGCATTCATTTTCATGGCTTCCTTAATGGTGTATTAGGGAGGTGTACAAAAATAGAGTTCATTTTTGCCATGTAAAATAGTATGCTGTAGATTTGAGAACTCTATGAAAGTTACCAATTCCTAAATTTAAAAAGCAGTATGTGTGTTTACATTTATACAAGAATATTTTATGGAGAGAGGGAGAAGTATACAGGAATATTTTATGGAGAGAGGGATAAGTTCTCTCTTAAAAAACAGAATGGTGGGGTTGTACTTTCCAAGTCGTGTATCTAAGCTAATGTTCTGGGTTACTTGTTTTACCCTTGCACCAAATATAGGTTTATTGCAGAAGAATCCACTGCTGCAGGTTCAAAATGTGTCCTCACCGACAGTCCAACCTGGATTATTGACCCTGTTGATGGAACGTGCAACTTTGTGCACAGGTAAATGGCCTGGGAAACCCATCAAAACCCAAAATGTAGCTTCTCACAGGTCCTCCCTCTGCTTTTCCCTGGTGGGGACTCACACATAGGAGCCATCCCTTTATCTCTTGGTACCTGGCATGGTGTGTGTGGGGGAGGCTGTGTTTGTGCTGTTATCTGAGGGCGAGCTGGAGTTTGTGCTGCTGCCCCTGGCTCACACCCCCAGCTCACACTCACAGCCCCAGCTCACACTCCCAGCTCACACCCCCTGGCTCCCAGCCCCAGCTCCCCCAGAGCCAGCTCACATCAGCGTGCAGACCCAAGCGAGCGGTGCCGGGGGAACAAGGCTGTGCTGTGAGCACACTTGGCCCAGTGCCTCCCGTGGGTTTCGCGCATTCCTTCCAGGAGTTCTCCCCTTCAGACACAGGCGCCTCCTTCTTCCTGGGAAGTGCCACCCCTGCGTGTGTGTAGGGCAGCACTGGAAACTGAGCTGTGCAGAGATGCTGGCGTTACATTTCTGAAGTACCTCTGCAAAACGAAATCTAAGGCTCCTTGCTGCAAAAATTAAGACTTTTTATTCACCATTCCAGTGTTAGGAGCTGTGAACTAATGACTATTCATAATATTTGTACTTAGAAACCCTGCCTTATAGTTAGCGGCTTAAAATAACTACAACTTTCATTTAAAAAAAAATTCCTTGACTTTTGGTGCAATTACAAAGAATTCCAGGGGAGATGGGTGGTGTCATGTGGTGATGTTTCATGCAATTAAGTGACATTTCCTCTTTCTAGCAATATTTTCTGGACTTCGAAAGTCCTTTTTGAAATGTGTTTCTAAGAAATGAATTTATTTCATTGTTTGAAATGTAACAATTATGCAGTAGTCAAAAGGACCGAATTAAATACATGATCATCACTTTGCAAAAGGACAGCATAGAGGAATTGGTTTCTTTTTATATTGGTGTCAGCAGGAAGGCCTCTCCATGCTACTTAATTGCCATCTCAGATACAAAGCTTGAGCAAAGTGTTCTTAAAAGCAATGACTTGTTATAACATTAGTGGTTTTATACTGGATGATTCAATTACACTAAAGCAAAAACATTCCTAAAATATACTACATGTTCAGGGTAAAAATTGTGATGTCCTCATGAGTTTATTTCTTGCCTTCTCCAATATTAACTTACATTTTAAAAGGAATTGATGAAGTTAAAGAGGCTGACAAAGTAGAAATACTATAATGTCAAGGGCATTTTGACAAGTAAATTCACAGAGCTCCATGTGGGATTTTGTTGCCTAAGGGGGTTGCATAAAGAGTAAGTTGAGAGATTTTTCATCAGTACTACTTCATTTCTTATTTTCACAGATTTCCAACAGTGGCAGTGAGCATTGGATTTGCTGTGAACAAAGAGGTATGAAGTATGTTCTTTAAGATGGGTGCCTGAGAGTTGGCAGAAGTCTCAAAACCATGTGGGAACTTTAAATTAAAAAAAAAAATTAGGAAATCAGTCACTACTCAGGTTTTTCTATGCTTTTAAAATGCATCTGGTCATGCTCTACTCATCTAAAATCATAGTCCTGCAAAACCTATTTATGCCAACTGCCAATTTAAAAAAAGTCTATGAATTATTAAAAGTATTATGGGATTTATTTTGAGAAGAAGGAAGGTGAGCAAGGTTTAGTTAGACAAAACCATAATAAGTTCAATTTAGTTCTGCCTCTTCATAATTTAAATATATTAAATCCTGTGTTAAATCCTGTGTTATTATTATTGCTTCTTTCCTGCTAGCAGTATCTGTGAAAGCTAACTCCTGCTAGGAGTCAATGTAGAACTGATTTTATGAAGAGTGCAAAATTACGGGCCTAGTTCATTCAATCTGCATTTGTATTTTTCTTAACATAGTAAAATAGCTATATTTACCACATGAGACCTTGATTATAGTGAGGGTGGGAAGGTACCTAGCCTTCCAATGTGCCATTTTGAGTTTCATAGCTATACTCATTTGTGCTAGTGCCTTTTCTCCAGATGCTGCTGGTTTGCAATTTGATCTATATCTATGAAATAACTAGTTACTCAAGTTGCCAATGAATGTGCCTCTTTCAACCTAATTCCACAATCTTTAATATATGTATAGCTTTAAGCAAAGCCAGCAAGAATTCTGTGCAGTAACAACCAAGTTTTCAGATGTGCTAGTAGCTCTTACTGATTTAAACAGAATAATGTTGTGTGCTTCTCTGGTTAGACTTTTCCGACATGGAAACTGCAGAGAAACACTTCCATGCTTTTCTGAAATTTGCTCATTGCCAAAAGTTCTTTTGAACACTACATTTTATTACCTGACAGTTTTCGCTGATATTTATGTTTTCTAGAACACCATCATGATTTTGATGCTGCATATTTTGGGTTATGTAAACTAAACAAAGCTGAAACAAAAGTAAAGAATGATGTTAAATCTTTCTCAGTTAAACAATTAGGACAAGCAGAAAAAAGAGTAAACTGAAAAGGAGCCAAAGTACACACAGGGGAACTGGCCTGATTATAAGCCTTGAAGAAATTCCTGCAGATGTCTTTAGGGAAAGAGTCTATAAATAGTCTGTTCCTCAAAAAAAACCCCTTGGTTTAGATGCAGCCTCAGGGTAGGGAGCCAGGACAGTCTTTAAATTGTCTCTGATGAGCACCTAGTGCAGCAGGAGAAGATTTGAAGTCTAGAACATCTGAGATGTTTTCTTGACCTTGTGGCCAACTTCAGACACCTCGGGCAAGTCCCTTAATTTTTGTGTACCCCTAAATTAAATAATGCTAATATTACCGATCTAGGGGCAATTTTCAGAGCTGACCCTTGAAGTTTTTAAAGTGCTTTAAAGTCCTTTGGTGAAGCCTACTAAAGTAATAAATATTTTAAATACCAAGGGTCTAATTCTAACCCTCTTATAATTGGTAAACAGAATCTCCCACGAAAAGTCCAGTGTTGCACATTCCTAAGCTTTCATTGAGGGTATTTCTGTCCAAACTCCTTCTCTTGGAGTCTTGTGATTTCAAGAGATCTTAACAAAAGGATTTTGCAGAGAAGGATTTGAACAAGTGACTAGAGTGTACTGCTTTGATTGAAAGCACAGGCAAATTCAATGCACCACGAAAGCTGAGGTGCCTACAAAAGCATCCACTGTTAACAGAGAGTGCCATGACTCCTGAGGTTGGATGCCTGACTGATCCTGGGGCTGCAAATCTTTGTGGTCCAGCCAAGGTCAGTGGGGTTGCTTCAAGGAGTAACTGCTCACCAGTGAAAGCAAAGCATTCAGAGTCTTGCCTCAGAGGTCTTGCGTATTTTCAGTAAAAACATTTCAATTGCATTTGAAAACAACTCAGTGTTTAATCCATTCTAACGTGAACAGAAACAAGCTGTGAGTAAGAATTTAGAGGTTCAGGAACATATTGCATTAACTTTTCTTTATAAACTGAATTTTATATGAACTATATCTCAATATCACAGTAATAGTAAAATGATTCCAGTTTTTAGCATCAGTGTAATCTTTATTATGTGTACCAATTAAAATATTGCTGATCTTTTTGCCATTAGTAGTTGTTTATATTTATGATGAGTAATTTGAGTTGCATTCATTTCTTTCCTTTTCAAAATCTTAAAGCTTGAATTTGGTGTAATTTACCACTGCACTGAAGAACGATTATACACTGGTAGAAGAGGTCAAGGGGCATTTTGTAATGACAAAAGGCTTCAGGTATCAAAAGAGACAGGTTGGTCTAGATTTTGTTAGAACTCTAAAAGGAATATATTAATTTTGTTTCAGAGTTGTTGCAAATCATCATTAGGATAATGAACATCATTATCCTGATGGAAAGTATTTCACCTGCATGATAATTTTGTTGTTTTGTGTTTGTTTTTTTCTGAAAAATCACTTTCCTCCTTTTCTTTTAAAATATACATCTGAATATGAACTATTTAAATAATCCTAAATTATTTTGCTTCACAACTGCTATTTAAAATAAGGAAGAATGTGTGGATTCACCAGTTTCATTCCAGCTGAGCCCTGGCATAATTTTTTATAAGCCAGATGCAATGGGAATGGTGAATCGAGTTCAGAGTATGATTGTGGCTGCTATTCACTTCTTTTCCAATGAACTTGTACATCACAGAGTGTCTGATGTCTGTAGGCAAATGTGCTAACAGTGAATTAAAGGGTGCATGCTTCATTAGGGGTTCTTTAACATCTTGCTCTGGTGTGTGAGGTGTGTTTCAATGTACAAATAGCCAGCAACACTTGGCCAACGCTTGAATGGAATTCTGTTATCTTTTATTTATATTTAAACCAAGTCATAGACCTGTCTGTCTACCTAATGATTATAGAAAACAATAATTTGGTATTATTTAGAGAAGTTCTCTTTTAGTTAATCAAAATGCAGAGGAGAGCATAGCACTCAGCTCTAAGTGGAAGCAGATATATGACAGAAATGTGCGCCACTGTACACATTAGGTGGTAAAAATTTCACCCCAAAGAGAGATTTAATGAGAGACTTCAACCCAAAGAGAGATCTCAACACACAGTAAATTCAGGCAATTATACATACAGATTTCTTTAGTGCCTGAAGCAGACTCTGCATCAAAATTTCACCTGAAATTTTGGATGTTTGGCTATTCATCTAAGTTAATAGTGATCTGGGGTCTACATATTTGGAGAGACAGATTGTAAAGTCATTGTGAATCTTAAACCCCTAAGATTTTAATCATTGATTATACATCACATATTAATCAGTACTCAAATATCTCATATTCAAAAAAAGCCCATACTGGCAGAGACTATTAGGAAGACCTGGGGGTGCTCCCAGTTGGACTGCATGAACCACTGTGGAAATGGCCTCACGTGCTTTTGCAGTCAGTTCTGGTTTCCAGCTGAGCAATGAACAATTTTGGCTCATGTCACTTCTGTCTTCCTTTCTCTAGACATCCAGTCTATGTGGGTGTCTAGAACACAGCAAGGGAAATAGACCTTCCGCCCTTGCAAATGCTTTGAAATTTTCTTTTGTTTTGAGATACATCATTTTGTGGTGGGAAATTTTCACCAGTGAAGCTGGATCTGCTGTAATCTCACTCCCACTGATATTAGAAGTGTTTTATATCACAGTTGCTCTCTAAGGGCTGTGGCTTCAGTGAAATAAACCAACCCTGGAAGACAGACTTGTGTTTCCCTCTACCTGCCACTGGAATTGAAGTGGCCATGATGTGTTTGAGATCTAAGCTGTCATGTCACTTGCTGCCATTTGTTTTCAGGAAATGTGATTGTTGTGTGCTGTTGATCTACACTTATACATTCATTGTTCAGGCTTAGTCATCTGAAATCACAGCCCAGGCAAACATTGTTCTTTGTCAACACCCAGTTTTGTAGAGGTTTGGTAGGGAGTCCATGCAGCTATGATACATTTAAGTGAAGGATCCATCTTCCCTGTTATCTTGAGTGATACTTTCTTCTCATGCTTAGATTCATGTCAAGCCTTACATGTGCTAATACTGTAAATGTATTTTCTTTTTTTAATCTTCTGGGATCAACAGAACTGATCTTTTCCTCATAGATTTCATGTCAAGCCTTACATGTGCTAATACTGTAAATGTATTTTCTTTTTTAATCTTCTGGGATCAACAGAAATGATATTTTCCTCATAGATTCATCCATATCACTGTTAAATCTTTTCTACCAAGCCCATATCTTGAATTCCTGAAATATCATAGTGTCTTGTGATCAGTCAGCTCCTTTTCCTAAGCAGAGACCTCCCTCTTACTTGCCTCAGTCTATTCATCCAATTTCCAGCTGTAGCCTTGAGGAAAATTGAAGAGCTCTGTCAATTAGAAATATTTTTAATAACATAAGAATAACTGTCTCGGTTACAACTTAACTATGACTGGCATGGTGAATGCTTGGTGCATTTCAACAATGAGATGGACATTAAATGTTCTCTGATTATAAACTGGGTCTGTTATGCAAAGTAATCTAAGGCAGATTGCTTTCACCATCCAGAATTTTTAGTAGTGGCTAAACACCAAATACCCTACAGCGTGCCTGGATTGGTGTTTTTCTGTTTTAACACAGGAATTTAAAAAGCAGCAGTTGAATCTACATTCCTACAGTTAATATTTGTGACACCCTGTGTTATGCAAAATAATCTAAGGCAGATTGCTTTCACCATCCAGAATTTTTAGTAGCGGCTAAACAATAAATACCCTACAGCAGTCCTGGATTACTGTTTTAACACAGTAATTTAAAAAGCAGCAGTTGAATCTATGTTCCTACAGTTAATATTTGTGACACCCTATAACTTTTAATCTAATTACATACCTGTTACTTACCAACCATTTTACCACATTGCTCAAATCCATAAGGTTCATCAGCAATAGTAAATTCTTTGGTAGCCTGTTTAATTAAATGGTGCCTCGCTCCAGCCTAATTTGCTCTTGAAAACCTCCTTGCTCCTTGTGTGGAGAACTTTCAGCTCATGCAGGTAGCTGTAAGAACCAGGTAGAGGTTGCCCACCTGAATGAAAGCCTCACCTTTAGCCCAGGGTAGGAGGTGACACCTAGCATGGGGCACAGCCCAGCCAGTGAGTTCTCAACCACAAAACCTTTGAGTTTTGCCATCTCTTTAATGCCTCTGAGTTCGGCTGGCACAGCAGGAGCAGGGACACTTGGCATTTGATCAACCATCTCCATCTACACTGGCACACTCTTACTGTGTCCTGGCAATATTCAGATCTCACGTGAGGACTGCTTCAACACCTCTCAAGTCACTGTGAGTCCCTCCTTTGACTGTACACAAGGCTGGTATCTCCATCTGCTCTAGGACAGCATTGCCTTTGCTGAATAAAAGAAAAATAGAACCTTCACAGATTATTATGATTAAAAATACTGCTTTACTTAGTCATAAGAAGGAGTTATTTTCTGTCATAAGGTGTCTTCAGTCTTTGAAATGCCAGAATGGGCTATTTCTAGGTGGCTGATTTAGGGAGAAACTTTTCTTTCCTCTTACTGGGTTCCCAAATGTTTATAATTGGTTAACAAATTACATTAGAATTCCCTATTCAAGAACCACCCTGTTTTCAAAGATGAATAGATTAACATCATTAGCAGTTACTAGATTAATGGATTATTTTATTAGACTGCTAATATTAGTGAATTTTCCAAAAGGTGACTGGTCAATGAAATAAAACAATGTGTGGAAATAGAAGGAATGTAAGAATGCATTCTTGGTTTTAATTCTCCTGGGGATTTTTGTTTTGGTTTTTTTTTAGTGTGTTTAGAACAGACCATTTGATAGTAGAAAAGTAGTCTTGCTTGAATTTCTATGCAAAGTTGTCACTTTATGAGAAAGTTTGGGGTAGAAAAAGGGACATGAAAATTATTTTTGTGTGAAAACTCCATTAGTGTTTAATTTAAAAACAAATTTATAGAACCTACCTGGAAGCTGTTGAATTAATGGAAACATCTCTCTACTATTGCAGATATCTCGAAGGCCTTAATTTTAACAGAAATTGGTCCAAAACGTGACCCTGCAACTTTGAAATTGTTCCTTGGTAACATTGAGAGATTGCTCAAGGCCCAAGCACATGGGTAAGATGTTCTGTGGCGTATGTCTCACATTTGTGACCAAGAAGTCATTAAAAAAAAAAGGAATTACAAAAAAAATACTGAAACAGGTGTGTTGTACACGTAGGTTGAAGTCAAAAGCATTTTCTTCTTTGTGTTGCTGTGGGGTGTAGGGTCCGTGTCATTGGGAGCTCCACGCTGGCCCTGTGCCACTTGGCGTCCGGCGCTGCAGACGCCTATTACCAGTTTGGCTTGCACTGCTGGGACCTGGCAGCAGCCACTGTCATCATCAGAGAGGCAGGTGGCACTGTGATAGACACTTCAGGTGAGCAAAATGCCCTTGCTTTGCCATTGACTGTTGGGGGACTGGGTGAGTGGCTGCCTCGGGGACACCTGTGTCACCCCTGTGGCTCTCTCTGGGGTGTAGGGTCCGTGTCATTGGGAGCTCCACGCTGGCCCTGTGCCACTTGGCGTCCGGCGCTGCAGACGCCTATTACCAGTTTGGCTTGCACTGCTGGGACCTGGCAGCAGCCACTGTCATCATCAGAGAGGCAGGTGGCACTGTGATAGACACTTCAGGTGAGCAAAATGCCCTTGCTTTGCCATTGATTGTTGGGGGACTGGGTGAGTGGCTGCCTCGGGGACGCCTGTGTCACCCCTGTGGCTCTACCTCATCCCTAGCAATATCCTGTAGAAGGGTCTGCCCTTCACGCTAGGCTCGGGCTGGTTATTCAGAACACACTGATGTAATTCCAGCATGGGCTTTCATCACATCAAAGGCCTTCTGAGTCAAACTGCATTTTCATGACTTTGAGTAAAGCCTCGTATTTGCAGTAAGGAACCAGCCCAGGAGATTGGCAGGTACGTTCAGACGTTCCAATTAGGTTTCAACAGAGACATCCTCCCAAGAAAGGAGGGTTCTGAGGTACCAGTTTGGATATATATGACTGGAAACTACTCAGAGGGAGTAAAAGGCAGCACTGTTTCCAGATTTTTGCTGAATTAATTTAGATGGTACACATCTCAGAGTATTGGTTTACTGGTGACTGGTGCCTAGATACTGTGGAAAGATCTGGTGGATTAACAAGGGTATGCTGAATGAACTAATTTCTGTCCCATTGCTGGAAGAGGGGAATATTGCATTTATTGTTGGCTACTGAACAAATCCAGGCATTCACTGCTCCTCTTGCATACTTTGGCTCAGTATCTAGAATTTTATAAAATAATTTTTCACTGGAGATTTCCATGTAGGAGCTGTTGAGTTAGGTTGCCCTTCCCACCCCAAAAGGAGCTATGTGGGAAGTTGTGTCTGTGTTTCTGACCCTATCTAATTACAGCGTGGTTTATATTTAAGACACTTCTCGTTAATCCTCTTGTCCTCAGGGGGACCTCTGGATCTTATGTCCTGCCGAGTGATTGCTGCAGGCACGAGAGAGATGGCCATGTTCATAGCTCAGGAAATACAAACTATTCACTACCGGCGGGACGACGAGAATTAAAGAATTAAACACTTGTGCAGAGTTTGCCTCCCGAAGCGCGTAACGTTTGCGAGATGGGTGTCTTGAAAGGGTATGTGATGTCAGCAGGATGGTTTCTGGGGAGATTTTCTGTGTCAAATATTTTTTATAAATTTATTACCATGTGGGAAGGCATAGGGATATTTTTAGACCTCTAAGAATCGTGTTTCCTTTTTAATATGTATCTCTTTCAGCAGTATCTTTTTTATAAGATAGATTATTTTACTTGTAGCAAATTAGTCTCAAAATTAAGTCGTAATTTCATATCTGTGGGGCTGATATTTAGTCTTTTGTAACACGCAGCTAAAAAATGGAACTTTATTTTTACAGATGCAGATCTCAGGTAAATGAGCTTTAGGACTGTAGTAAAGGAGGAGTAGTTGAGATGTGTGCCTATAATAATACCCCTGTTCCACGATACTTAAGAATGCAATACAAATGGCATTGTTATTTCCTAACGACGTCATAGCTCTGTATCCATATATGTACATGTCTGTGTGTCTGTGTGTGTGTATATATGTATGTATATGCACCTACACGTGTCCATGCATGTATACACACACATCCCCAGGGGTGTATGTGTATATATATGGATACTCTGGATGTTTACAGCAACATAGAGAATGCATAGAGAGAAGAAAGCTAATATTGGAAGCTGTTTTCAGGTAAGGGTTTTTTTAGGTTACTTAGGTGATTCCAGTCAGCACTGTCCAAATAACAAATAGCAGAGCTGACCATGGAAAATGTTTAACTGTTTTACAAACTGCCCGGCTAGATTTGTTTCCCTTCGTCCCTCTGCATGGCCATAAATCATACTGTCCTGTAGGCCTCTGTAAGATACTCAAACCTGCAAACAATTACTACCATAGAGTACTTATAGTTAAAACCAGGAATATTGAACTCAAGCTGAGTTACTCACAGTATTAACTATGACATGCAGCAGTAGGAGGCCAGCAGAATAGAGCTCAGTGTCAAAGAGCTGTTGATTTTAGAGAACCTTCAAGCAGAACAGCAGGATTTGGCCCCTTACAGGCAAGTTATTAAAAGTATGCACATAAGGTATGCTTGCAAAAAGTTGTAAATCACATGCCCTTCTTGCACAACGTTGTAATCACAGTTTTTGATCAGAAGAGCCTGTAAAATCGGTTACATAGATTTCCTAAATACACAGTTGTTCCCTATCCATGTATCTAGCCCATAATTTCTATTTAGATTGTGTTTTAAATCGTGAGCACAGGGAAAACACAAGTGTGTCGAGAAAAGCAGTTGATATGAAATCACTTCTATTTTTTCATCAAAAATTTAATTAAAAGGTATCTTTTTTGCAAGAGTGCAAATTGAATAAAGGAATGAGCCAAAAGAGTTGGTTAAAAATCTAACTTTTTCCGTACACTGCATGTGTAGACTTTTTAAATGTGTTCTGATGTCTGCTTAGAAGATACAAACTAAACAATATTTTTTAAAAATAACCTTATGTGTGTTTCTTGCAATGAAAAATGTTTTTCGCTGAATATAACATGAAGTTCTGTGTGATTTCTTGATATTTTTTCATGAGAAATACAAAATATTGACTGTGTGAGGAACTTCTAATTCCAACTAAGCATTTAAAAGCTGAGGGTTCTTTGCAGAAAATCAACACTTTCCATCACAGTGATCAACATTTTGTCACTGCTCCCTTTTACCCCCTCCATCTCTCTGTACCCCTTTTGGAAAAGAAGATTGTAAGCCCTCTGGGGCAGGAGCTACAGTAGTTTGGCTCTGGGTTTTCACAGTGCTAATAGGATGAGATTCTGGTCCACAACTAGGCACCGAGGTGCTATAATAATACAAATAATAAATGCTAATAGGCTCACTTGTCTCTTGTTCACTCTCCCCCCACTTCCCGAGCCCAGAGGAGATCAGAGTGACAGATGCAGGGCTTGGTGGCACTGCTGATTCCAGGCTGCTTAGCCCTGGCAGCCGTGGGAGCAGCTGGGGCTTTGCTCGGGCTTGTGCCATGCCCGTAAGCCCTGCTAGGAAGCTTATGCTGGCAGGGAACCAAGTGTGGGGGGAGCTCAGCCCCACTTCATCCACTCACCCCGTCCCCGCCACTGCATGGGTGAGCGGCTGCTTGGTGGCTCTGCGAGGTTTCCCTGCAGCTCAGCTCCCTCCTCCAAAGAGTCTGTGACCCAGTTAGGGCTGGTGTGCCCTGGCGCTCCCGGAGCTGGCAGAGCCAGGAAATCTGTGCATCCACTTCAATGGCACACGCCAGCCACTGGCAAAACTGGGAGCCAAGCAGGGCAGGAAGGGAGAAGTGCAGAAACCCAATCCCAAGTTCTCATTTGTGCCCAGGATGCAGTCTGGGTTTTTATTTGGACTGTAGTCCAAGTATGTTAAACTGGCCCTGTGTGTGGGAAGCAACAATCCTGCCTCCCCACCTCCTCTGCTGCCTGTGTGCCAGGACAAACATTTCTGAACACTTCCAGGGGACCAGATGAGTGAAGTGATCTGCCTGCAAAGTACCCCAGTAAACAACAAAGGGATTATTCTCGAGGCACACCGTTTTCCCAAGCCAATTCAGTCCCTGGCCACCATGAGCAGCTGACTTCAGGCCCCAAAGGGGGCAAGCAAGACAGCTCCCTTCACGGATGGTGTCACAGTATCCCAGTTTGAGTTTGCATCAAATTGCAGCCTTAAAGTTATTTGATTGCAATAAACTGTACTGGATTTGTCCTCTCTTCCTTATTTCTTGGTAGCCAAGTGAAATTTTGCTCAGCATGTGCCCAGCAGCTCGTCCTGTGAGTGCAAGCATTCATAGTGCAGCACATTAGCCAAAAACTTAAATCCCCCAAAATGCTCAAGCACGTCGACTCTTTCCTGCCAGCTGTCGTAAAATGCTTCAACTGTTTTCCAGTGCATACATTATGGAGTACATAATGTATCCAAGATGGATGAAGATTTTTCTCCCTGAGCACCAGCACAACAAAGATGCCCGTGCTCTGAAAAGCAAGTGCTTCCTCTGTAAGCAAATGGTGCTCAGCTTCCCAGAGCTGGTCCAGCTCATGCCTGCATCGCTCACCAGCTCGCTGGTGGAGAACAACCCCCAGTCTGCTGGTCTGGTCTCTAAGGGTGCTTTCTGGCAGAATAAAAAGTGGAAATAGCTGTAAACTCCAGGGAAATGGTCAGTGGCTGATTCCTCTGCAGTGTGTGTCTCGCTGAGCTTGTCAGATTTTGCAGAACAAGTCCCGGCATGTTTCAGGTGTGCTGAGGGGCTGACATTCTCCCTTGATTATACCAGTTAATCTCCCAGTATTGAAGAAAATATGCATGTATTGGAGCACTTACCTAGGGGCCACAGGCAGCATTCTCCATGCTTCATCTAGAATTTGGTTCCTGTTGGCAACAGCTTCGATTAAAGGAATAAAAATATCACTTACTTAGCCATTCTGCTGTTGGAATTAGAGTTTTGCTGTTCTCCCAGCAGGGTTGGATCTGTTCAATATCTGCACAGGAGATGTGCAGATTATTCTCTGAATAATGAAATAAGACTTAAGCCACTATATCAAATTAACACAGACCACACCTTTTTCCTGGTACCTTCCTAGAACTGCCAAGACTGTTGAAATTATTATTTTTTTCTAATGCTAGTAGGAAAGCTGTGTACAAAAATGTGCTCTGCTTCAGGACTATAGTGTCAAGTCTGAAAACGTAGAGAAGTCAAAATTATTGTTTCTTCAGCAGTTTCCATTTTACAGCACATCAAAGTCAAATATTTCATAAAACATCTCCCCAACACTAAGGAGTGCAACAAATCATTCACCAGCAGTGGAAGGAGGCATTTCCATTTTCTTTTAATCCATCCACTAGACATGACAATAGCACTATAGGATGCTGTATTTAATATGCATGCTGTGTTCACATAGCAGAAGAACTAATTCTATTCCAAAGAGGAATAACTGTTGGCACTAACTCTGGATTTCCATGGGATTTGCTCCTGAAGTTTTAATTTCAAAATGCATTACAACGGTGGGTTTGCACTTCTGTCCTTTTCATCCCATTATATTTGTACAATGAATTTTAGAGTAAAATGGACCTAAGTGTGACCTTTCTCATCGCAGAACAGGAAGGTGCATGTTTCACAACATGAAGAAGCTGAATTCTGTATCTCAGCATAGTGAATGTTACTATTTCAATGACAAAAGAAAATCATGTGCGATTTCTCTTGTGTACAGCTGTGGAGTCCATGCATATCAACAAAGGTGCCACAGCGCAGCCTGGTAACAAGGCAGCCAGAGAGACCCACTTCATACAGGTGCTGTGGGAACTGGTCAATGATCAGAAGGCTCTTTAATAGCAGTCACTTCTATGCAATTACTGAAATCCATTATATCATACCGAATACTTCAGTACGTACCCTTATAAACAACATTTATATATTTAACATCCTCTGCACCCTTTTACGCACACTGCTACTTCATGCTGCCTACTGCACTATGCTTCTTCAGTCAGCTACTGACTTTTAGTTTTACTAAAAGCTAGGTTTTTTTAGTGGATGCTCAGGGTTTTTATAATATAGCCATTAAACTATTGTTTTCCAATTCACTGAAACAAAAGAATTCAAAATTGAGGTCTGAGTCTTCCTGCCAACATTTACCAGGATAAATTGAATAAATTGGTGGAGTTGCACCTGTTTTCAGGAGAAATAAAATAGCCAACATTTTCTCATGCAGGCAGAATTTTCTATCTGGTCATGGGGAGGGAAGGACTCCTTTAATTCAGCAATGCCTGGTTTACAACATGGAAGATTAATCAGCTCCAAACAGGAGCGTTTTCCTCCTCCAAGCACTTACTATCAAAATCAGTGCTAATGGATATGTGACAATACAATTTGGAAAAAAATACTATTCATAGAGTCTTATATTTCAATATTAATTTAATGCTGGAACAATGCTATTTTATTTATATATACATATAAATGCATATGATAGATAAAAATTGAGTCTGGAATAAGTTTTTTATACAAATTATTAATACAAGGTTCACAAAAATTGTCTTAAAATTTCTCAGTGTTCGTGTCTCCATCCACCTGTCACAATCAAATTCAAAGTGTTAATCTGTGGAAAGAAAACTATTTATTCAGAGATGTTTCCTAAGATAAAAAATTTTGCAGACACATTCTTTGCACAGAAAAGATTATGTTAGGTATTAAAGAGGTCAGTAGGGAAGGGATAATCTTTATCACATTAAGCTGGAAACCTCTTAAAGTGTGAAAGGTCTGTGTCCTTCAGCAGTGCTTTTCTTTTAGCCAAAACTATGCAGTGGTGGTGTTTGAATTTGAAGATATTTGAGAAAGAGAAACTGTATATGAAAGTGCAGTTTTGCTGTATGAGTAATGCAGCAGGACTTGAATGTACTGTGACATTAGTAGTCACTTACAGGACCCTGAATTGGCTATATTCATGGTGGAAATACTGGTTTATTCTATTATGAAATGAATTCAAGCATTATTAGCCAGGCTGCCAGACAACACAGAAGCAAAATCGGAATTCCATCACTTTTGTTTGCGCATTGCAATCAGCACCTCTTTGTTCCCCTGAGAAACACGCACGTATTCTCTCTTGCCAGGAGTTGTTTAATGTGGGTCGTGTTGAGCAAGACAACCAGATGATGCCAGTGAGCCCAGTTTGAAGAAAATGGGGCCCAAAAGCTCTACTGGCACAAGGGGCCACAATTCCAGTGATGTTGTGTAGCTCAGGGCACAGTATGACTGTAACTCAGCAAAACAATCAGTTGTCTTTGTGGTGAAATAACCACCAAGTCTTCCATGACACAAACACGTACATCCATCAGGTGACACACAGCCAGGATTTCTGGAGACACCAAGTGATTCTAAAGCCTTACTTCAGGTGGTCAGCATGCCTCAGGGTCACACTTAACATTTGTGACAGCAAATATTTTAAGAACTCTTTTAATATAAAATACAGTCATTATTATACACACGTGTAGAAATTTAGAGCTGTAATATTGGTTTGTCCCTGCTTTGCACTTGGTGTTTACTATTTGTCAAGTGGACAAGACATGCAAAGTTAACAGAATATGAATACTTTACATTCACTTTTCAAACACAGAAATAAATATACAAGGGCTCACCAGTTTCCAAACTTTAGGAGAAAGGCACTGGAGATTTTTTTTCAGATGCACTCTATCCCTGCACTATTTAATCTATACATAAAAGAGCAGTGGGAAGAAGAATTAGTCTTACAAGATGCAAGTTGACTTCAAAAGAGATTAAGGCTACTTAATTACACCAGGATATCCCCCACTGATTTCTAAGTCTGTAGTAAATCTGAATCTAAGAGTACATCTGGAAATAGACAGTAAAACATAAAAGTCATTATAAATTATGTAGACCTCCTAATAATTCATATAAAAATTTCTTATCTAAGATATCCTTCTGTAATTATTATATTGGAAGCTAAGAATAATTACTTTTAAATGTTTTATACAAGCAAGGGAAAGATGGATTTTACAACTAATAACCTACTCTAAATCAAGGAATCAAAGACCTTATTAACTTATTATCTAAGCATGTGCAATTTCAAAGAATGCTCTCCACCCACTGATATCAGCTGAATTTAAGCTCATCTCCATCATACAGAGATTTTGTCATGGAAGCATAATTGAAAAATGCAAAAATATCCATGTTGCATTCTTGTTTATTTTTTGCAACATTATGCTTTGTTCTTTGGTAACTAGCATTTCATCCTGTATTCTGTACAAGTGAAAGAGTTTCTTGTTATTTTTTAATGAATGCTACAAATCAGTGATCACAGAAATCATTAGACCAGTGTGCATGTTAGAA